CTCTCCCCCTGCCCGCCCCGGCCCAGAGCCCTGCCGGGGAGGCGCCAGGATGGAGCGGGCGGCGGGCGAGGGCCGGCCGCTGCTGCCGGGCAGCGCCGGGCTCTCCTCCGCCGGCGCCGTTTTCATCATGCTGAAGTCGGCGCTGGGCGCGGGGCTGCTGAGCTTCCCCTGGGCCTTCGGCAGGGCCGGCGGGGCCGCCCCCGCCCTCCTGGTGGGGCTGGTAGGGCGGGGGGGTCGGGGGGGGGGCGAGGGGCTGAGGGCAGCGGCATCCCCAAAGGGAGCCGAGATACCTGCCGGCCTGGGGAAAAGGGGCGAGGGGAAGGCGGGGTTCACCTGCCCCGGCATCTGGGGGGGCTGGCGGGGGCACCCTTCCCTTTGTACCTGCGTCCCGATCCGGGCTGAAAGAGAGAACAGGGGTGCAAAAGCCGCTGCCGCCTTAGAGATGCTCTTTGCCTCTGAAGCCACGCTTTTAGCTGGCTTTTAGCTCAACCTAAAATAAAATTGGTAGCTGGTCCCCTGTATGTCCCCAAAACCTCAAATCTAAACCCAAAGTATCACATAGGGCTGTTTCTCCATCCTTTTGCTGGCTCGTGTTACCCGGGGCCACAAGGTGACCTGGCTGGCGACCTGGTCCCTGGCCATGGCCCTTCTGGGTCCCCCCCTGGGTCCGGGGGGTGATGGAGGGTCCCTGTGGTGTTTCTTCCCGGGTCCTGTCCCCACAGGGCTCGCTGGTCTTCCTGGTGAGCGGGCTGGCGGTGCTGGGCTATGCCGCAGCCCTCAGCGCCCAGCCCACCTACCAGGGGGTCGTCCGGGCGGTGTGCGGGGCAGCAGCGGGGAAGCTCTGCGAGGTCTGCTTCCTCCTCAACCTCTTCATGATCTCCGTGGCCCTCCTCAGGGTGGTGGGTGACCAGCTGGAGAAACGTGAGTTGTTTCCCCCCCTACCACGCCTGGGGCTGGTGGCTCCTGGGAGTGAGGGGCAGGTGGTCCCATGTGGGCTGGGGGCAGCCCTGGGGTTTTCTTGGGACCCGCCAAGGATGTGGGGCTCCCTGGCCCTGGCATGATGTCATGCTCCCAACCCCCTTGGGCTACCTTTCGAGGTGCTGCTGACCCCCCCACTGCCCCCTGCAGTATGCGACTCCTTGTACCCCAATGGAACGCTGAGCGGGGCCCCCCCGCCGCCCCCCTGGTACGTGGACCAGCGCTTCACCCTCTCGGCTCTCTGCATCCTCGTCATCTTCCCGCTCTCCGTCCCCAGGGAGATCGGCTTCCAGAAGTACTCCAGGTACCACCTGGGCCACCCTTGTGGTGGCCCACCCCTGGGCACCCTATACCCCCGGCCACCTCCTCCCGGGTCCCTGTGGGGCCACAGGACACCCCTCCCACCCACCCCCACGCCCCCCCCAGCTGCCAGGGGTCTGCATGCTGACGCTCTCCCATACCCTGGCAGCATCCTGGGCACGCTGGCCGCCTGCTATCTCACCCTGGTCATCATCCTGAAATACTACCTGCAGGCAGAGAGCCTGAGCTCGTCCGAGCCCCCCCAGCCCTCCAGGTAGGGGGGGGGTCAGCCCCCGTCCCTTCCGCCCCATCTTCTGTGGCATCAGCAGTGGCATGGGGCAAGGCTGGAGGCCATGCAGGGAGTGGCCATGGGGGGGCGGAGGGTGAGCTGGGGACAGCACTGGCAGGGTGGTGGGTGGGTGGCAGCCCCCAGCCTCAGCTTTCACCCCAGCAATCCTCCCATCTCCCAAAATCACCGGGCAGAAGGTTCCTGCAGGCTTCACAGCTTACGCCACCAAGGTCCCCTCTGCGTCTGGGGGCCTCACACCCCTTGCTCTGCACTTCCTCCCCCCCCATGCCACAGGGCCTCCTCCTGGGCCTCCATCTTCAGCGTCATCCCCACCATCTGCTTTGGCTTCCAGGTAGGTCATCCCCACAGTCCCCGACTGCCGGGGCAGCGCTGGCAGCCTCCCGCAGCGTCCCGGACTGTGGGGACACCACCCCTTGTGGGGGGGGTTGCAGGGAAGGGGACCCATGGCTGTCACCAGTGGTGGCTGCGGGGCAAGACACAAGCCCCTGGGGATGGGCGAGAGTGGGACAGGGCACCCACGGGTGGAGGGAAGTCACTGGGGGTGGGGGTTGTCCCTGCGTGGGGCCCCAGCACCATTCCCCCCTGCCTTGCAGTGCCACGAGGCTTGCGTGGCCATCTACAGCAGCATGCGCAACCAGAGCTTCTCCCACTGGGTCACCGTCTCTGTGCTCTCCATGCTCATCTGCCTGCTCATCTACTCCCTCACCGGTAACCCCAGCACCGGAGCCCTTCACCCCCTCCTTGCCCCAGGGGTTCCCCGGCCCCAGGCTCATCCATCCTCCTTGGGGCTCCTCTGTCCTTCTCACCGGCACGGCCGCCCACCCCCACCTCCCCATCGGCAGGGCTCTACGGCTACCTGACCTTCGGCGAGGCCGTGGCGTCCGACATCCTGATGTCCTACCCAGGGAATGACCCGATCGTCATTGTCGCCCGCCTGCTCTTCGGCGTCTCCATCGTCACCATCTACCCCATCGTGGTGCTGCTGGGCAGGTGAGGGGGTGGTGGCGAGCCAGGTTGTTCCCCCCGGCCCGTGTGGCTCTGCTGGGTGCCGTCAGCCCCCCCGACACCCTCCCCAGGTCGGTGGTGCGAGATGTGTGGTCAACGCCCAAGCGTGGGGCCGCAGCGGTACCCGAGGCGCACGAGCGGTGGAACCGGGTGGCACTGACAGTCGCCTGGATGGCCACCACACTCGCCATCGCCCTGTTCGTCCCAGACATTGGCAAGGTCATTGAGCTCATTGGGGGCATCAGCGCCTTCTTCATCTTCATCTTCCCAGGCAAGAGTGAGCAGTGGGAGGGAGGGGATGGGGTCATCGGTGCCAAGAGCGTCGCTGCGGTGGGGCTGTGGTGGTGGGTGGCTCATCCTGGCCCCATTTTGGGGGTGCAGGGGAGTGCTTGTGGGGGATGCCACAGTGGGCCCTGGGTGAAGGGTGCCATGACAGCGGGGCTGAGCCTCTGCGTTGGCGGCAGGGCTGTGCCTGGTGTGCATGACTGGGACCCGCTCCCTCAGACCACGCAAAAAGTGAGTGTCTGTGGGCTCGGCGGTGCGGGCAAGGGCAGGGGTACGGGCACGGGCAGGGGCAGGGGCAGGGTGCAGCATCCCATGACCCATGGCTCAGGCAGGCTCCCTGGGGGTCACCCTGGCCAAGGTGGGACCCCCATGAGGAGGGGGATTTGGGGCACCTGTAAGCACTAAAAGCAGGAGCACTTGCTGCGGGATGTGAGGTCTGCGGTGGGGCTGAAGGGTGGGTATGGAGGGATGTGCTCTGACATTGGAGATATCGGGGATGTGCCCAGGCATTGGGGAGGTGCCCAAACATTGGGGATGTGCCTGGGTACCAGGCGTGTGCCCAGGCAATGGGGTTGTGCCCAGGTATTGGGGGTGTGCCCAGGCATCAGGGAGGTGCCCAGGTACCAGACCCCTTGCAACGCAGAGCAGCTGTAGAGGAAGGAGAGCCGTGGGGTTTGGGAGCACTGGGGAATCCGGAGGGGGGTCAGGTGGGCGTCAGAGGGGCACGGTGCCCCAAGGCAGGCAGTTGTCAAGTGTTCAGTGTCTGCTGCGCCCGGGCGGTGCGTCCCCATCACCACTCCTGGCTGGAGAGGCTGGGGCACAGCAGCGGCCCGTGTCAGGGGGACCTGGCACAGTGCTGGCAAGTTTTGGGGTAAGCGTGTGCCAAAGTGTGTCTGCGGTGCCCGTGGGGGAGCAGCAGAGTCTGAGTGAGGATGGAGGTGATGTGAGGGGGTCCTGTCCCCCATGGCAGCTGGAGGGAGCACCCCCGGACCTTGGGGTCTCAGCCAAGAGGGTGTCCTGGGATGGGGGCAGGGGCGAGGCTGTCTGGGCAGGGGCGAGGGTGCCCCTGGGGATGCTGAAGTGCTGGGGGGGGGCAAGGCAGGAGGTAAGCAGGGGCACCCAGGTGGGCGACAAGGACTTGGAGAGGTGCCTCGGGGAAACCTGCCAGGGCGTGAGCCCGGGAGTGCTGTCACGAGGAGGGGACAACATGAGCCGGAGCGATGGGGACAGTCCCAGCCTGCCTGGGGCAGTTCGGGAAGGTGCACGGCGCCGACAACCCCACGACAGAGCAGCACTGAGGTTTGGGGGTGAGTGCCACGTCCTGGGGGCTCGGCGTCTGGTTGAGAAGGGGGGCTGTGTGCCCGGCGAGAGGGGGACAGGGAGGTGCCGACCCACAGGTCACGGGACTGGGGATGGAGCCGGGGAGGGGGCACGGGTGGGGGCATGAGGCAGTAGGGTGAGGACTGGGGGTGTGTGGGAGCGGCCGTGCCTGAGCATGGGGGGCTGATGTGGGTCTGTGCCCCCTCAGCGGGGCTGCCGGGCACAAGCAGAACCGGGGTTGGTCTCGTGGTGGCGGCTGCCAGGCTTTTGACCAGATTTCGTGTATCATTGCAGTGGGCACGGGGGATGAGCCGGAGGGGCTGCCGGGGTCTTTGGCCATCCGCCGGGAGCGATGCAGAGGAGCATAGCAGAGAAGGCTGAGCGCCCACAGAGGGCCCCACACCCGGGGGGCCGGGGGCCAGGGGGTGGCATGTTACTGGGGGTTGGTTCTGTCCCACCGGCCCCCTGCTCGTGTCCCCGCAGGGCTGCTTTCATCGCCTGGGGTGTCCTCTCCGTGCTCTGCGGCACCTTCGTCTGCGGGCAGAGTGCTGCCCTGGCCGTGCTGGGGCTGCTGCACTGAGGGGCAGCGGACCCCGCTATTGTGCCCCCCCACCATGACCACCGCCACGCTGGACAGCCACCCTGGACACGGCTACGCTGCTGGATCCCATCACGGTTTTATTTGGCATCACCGTCCCTGTTGTACAGCGGCTAATAAAGACGGGACAGGGTATCGGCGAGGGCCCTGCGCCATGCACCCTGAGGGATCCCCACGCACGGCGGGGTGGGGGCAGGATGGGCAGCGAGCGCTGCACACAGACAGACAGACCACAGACAGACGTACAGACCCCAGGAAGGGGGGGGGGGGAGGGCAGCCACCCCCACACCTGCAAGGCACCTGCTGCCACCACACACACACACGCAAAGGAAACCCCTCGGGACCACCCGCACCCCGCAGGACTAAAAAGCACCCCAGTAGCAGGGCTACCCTCCCTTTGCCACCACCCTGAACTCCCCCCCCACTCAGGGACAGGGGTCCCCATCCCTGTAGGCACACACACACTGCTCCAGGCACAGTCTCACCCCCCCAGCCCCCTCCCTGGGTGGCCCTGGGGACTAGCAGGGACCCCCCCAACTTATCCACCCCAGGGGGGCTCCAGCCTCCCACTCCCACCCCTGTTACTCATCACTGGCTCCCTACCCCTGCCTTGCCCCCTCCCCATCACCCAGCTGCCTGCACCCTGCCTCCCCCACTCCCTGCCTGCCCATGCCTGGGGGATCCCCCCCGCCAAACCCTGCCAGCTGCTCTTTGGCAGACCCCAGGGGGACACCCCCTACCTCCTCCCAACTCCCCCCCCCAGACCACCCCACTGCAGGGAGAGGTGACCCAGGTGATGGGGTAGCCAGCAGGGGGGATCCTATGGGGTGCTGGGGACACACACAGGGGTTTCCTTCACTGCAGACAGGTCACACCGACACCTCCCACCCGCCCCAGCCACGCAGGGAGTCACGGCCACCCCGCAGCAGGGACGGATGGTGGCGGGCCCCCGGCAGCAGTGATCACTCTCGGCTCAGGGTGCACCAGGCAGCTGCAGAGGAACAGCACAAGAGGGTCACCTCTGCCCAGCCCCACACCACCCCAACCCACCCAGTGCCCCCTGCCCACCCCAGCTCCCCAGCAGTGGTGCTGGCCACCCAGGGGTCCTTCTCCCCCACCCCGCGGGGCAGGCACCCTCCTACCTGGCACGGCCACGCTGGAGACGGCCTCGGGCTGGCTCAGCGTGTCCACCTTGACGTGCTGGAAGCCCTTGCAGGTGGCACTCTGCAGGTGCCTGCGCCCGGGCGGGAAAGAGTGGGCGACAGCCTCCCCTAAGTCACCATCCCAGCCCCCTGCAACCCCGTCGGCTCTGGCAGGGGCTGGGTGCCAGCAATCCCGCTCACCCTCCCCTTAGGCAAAGCCCCCTGCCATGGTTCGGGACAGCGTAGACCTCCCATTCCCCCATGTCCAAAGGCATCCCCAGGCAGAAGATGCACAGAGACGTCCCAAGCCCCCTGTCCCCTTTACAGTGACAGCCCCAGGACAGACAGATCGATCCTCGTCCCTGCCATCAGACAGGGGACGCAGCTTGGGACTCAGCAGCTCCAATACCCCTCCGCGCCTGAGCACCCCACCCAAAAATGAGCTCTTTGCGCCCCCTCCCCTACCTCTTCCAGTCCTCCTCAGTCTCCCAGAACTCGTAGACGATGAAGGTGACCCCATCGGGCAGCTTCACCGCGGTGACGCTGGCAGGAGCGGGGAGAGGGGTGAGCCCTGAACCGTGGGGCATCCCTCCCCCCTCGGCCTCTGCAGCCACAGGCACACTGTAGGGTAGGCCACCAAGGGGGTGACCCCAGCCCCAGCAGCCCAGGTAGGGGGAGCCCCCCCCATCCCAGCACTCCCCAGCCCATACAAAAGGGTTTTGGTGGCCAAGCGTCACTACACCCCCAAATCCTGGCTGGTTTGCCTCAGCCCTTCACTTGGTGGAGCGCCCCTTGCTGTGAGGGCAGCTGGACAACGCCTGCGCCCCCCCGCCCCCCGCTGCACGTCTGCCGGTGGTACCCACTGGAAGCAGTCCCGCTCCCCGGCCACGCTCTTCAGGTACTGCTTCAGGGAGCTGCAAAACTCGCCCAGATGCTTGTGCGACACCGTCATCTCATCCCGCACCAGGAGGAGGTACTGCCAGGCCCCCCGAAACACAGCGGCATGTGAGACCCAAAAAACACGGTGACACGCCCCACCCCCAAGTCCGATGCCACGCTGCAGGGACACCCCAGCACCCCATGGGTGGTGGCCAGGCACTCTCACCGTGCAAGCCGTGCTCTCGCTGTCCGACAGCCGCTGGTGCAGGTCAAACCAGAGAGTCTGGGAAAAGGGGGAAAAGGGGGGGGGGGGCTGAGGCTTTGTGTCCCTCCCCGGCTGGCAGGTTTCTGTCCCCGTGCTTGGCATTATGGGCTGTTCCCCCTTCTCTCCAGGGGATGGCTCCAAGAGCTGTTTGCACCTTAACGTCCTCCCATCAAGACCCTCTGCAAAAGCTTCCCGTGCTCCCAGTGCAGCCGACATCCCCAACACCACGTCCTCGCATCAGCCCCAAAATAGCTGTCACCTTTTCACGGTCCCTGAATTGTCCCTGGGGTGGCATGAGCAGGGGTACCCATCCCTCCTCAGTGCCCACTTGCACCTTCCCAGCCCTGCGCACACTCTTATTTCCTCTGGCAACCACGATCAACATTTTTCTGCCCTCAACCTTCATGGCACCTCTCTGCTGCCATGTACAGCACCACTTTTCCCCTGTCCCCTTCTGCCCTGAAAGTGCAAACCAGGAGGATTTCAGAAACCTCTCCTGTACTGCAACATTTTCTCCTTCAAGTCCCTAGATGGAGTAAGACTGCCTCTGCAAGAGACATTGTCTTCTTCCTTATGTTTTTCCTGGTTTAAATAAACTCAGTTAATTGTTCCACATTCAATAGCTGCCATCAGCTCGTCAGATGCAATATCCTCCAACATCATCACCACCAGCAACCCAACTCCCACCCGTGGCCCATGCATGCCACAGCACAGGGATGGGCATGGCTACCTCTTGATCACCTCTGTCCTAACCAGGGCAGGAAGGGGCTGGGGCTGCGGGGACACCCAAGGGGCAGCCCCACGCATGGAAACGCTGGCCCTTACCTTGTCCTCCAGCCTGCCGATCAGCTCGGCGAGCCTGTTGATCTGCCCCTCCAGCCCCTCCGCCTTGGTGTCGGGGGACCCTGCGCAGAGCCAGGAGGCAGTGATGGAGCAAGAGGCACCCGCAGACACCCTCAAGAGCCCTGTTGCCCTCCGGGGAAGTCAAGCATTGCCTCCGTGCTGCCGCCGGGACCAGAGCTCCCTTCCCCAAGTGCCCCCAGCCACTCCAGGCTGCCAGTGCGGCTGGGAAGCGGCCATTGCTTACCAGTCTGGAAGCTCTTCCCATGCTCCCTGGGGATCATCCAGTTGGTGGGAGAGTAGCTGGGCACAGAGCTGTCGTACCAGGTGTCCATCAGACCGTGGCCAGCCTTGCCGGGATAGTGCCTGCAACCAGAGAGCACGTGGGCGGTCAGGGGGGGCAGAGCCGGGCACATACAACATGGCATGAGCCAGCCCCAGGGAGCCGACATCGGAGCAGCCTTTTTGGCAGCTCTGCCACCAACACCAGACCCCTTGGAGAGCAGCAGTGCCTGCACCGTGCCCAAGCAGCACAGGCTTCCCTCCTTCAACATCACCTGGCATGGGGAGTGGGTCAGAACTAGAGCAACATCAGTGGGCTGCTCCCAGCAGCCATCACTTTTCTTTCCTGCTTATGAAACACCGCAGCAGCCCTCCTGGCATCTCCTGCAGCCCTCGGGGATTTTTTCTTCCCTAGACAGACACCCACAACATTGGGTGCCAGTAGCTGTGCCCAGCCGGCTGGCTGCACCTTAATGGGGCTGGTTTTGCAGTCGGATGGTTTTGGCGACTAACACGTGGGAAAAGGTGCTGTCACATAGGCTGCCCATGCCCAAATTGCTGCCCATGAGCAGCGGAAGCCTGCCCACCCGGCAGCCTGGCCATGCATCCCATCAACAGGCTGCAGCCGCAGTTCTCCTGGAGAATGGAGACACATCCACCGTAGCATCCCCTCCACCTTGCTTCTTCCTCTGGGGCTACAAAGCCCATTTGGCCTGGCTCATCCTGCAACACCTCTTGGAGAAAAGGAATGTGTGCATATGTGTGCATACACACATGCTCATGCATGCACATACCCCTGAGACATCAACGACCATCCAGCCCCAGCTCCTTGGTGGTCCCCCCCAGGCCCTCGTTCATTTGCAAGTCAGAGGGGATGCTAAGAACTGTCACCCCCACAAGGGTTTGCAGCTGCCATCTGTGTGAGGAGAGATGGGAATGGGTTTTGGGAAGGATGAGCCTCTCTTTCCTTCCTCCTCCACTGATGGGAAGCCTGAGCCGCAGAGGGAGAGGCTGAGCTGCTCAGAGGGTTTCCAGCATTTCCTTCCAGCGAGAGCAGCTCCGTGCCAGCTGCCCACTGGTGGAGGTGCCCGGGAGCCCTGGCTCCTCTTGGCATCTCTTGCCAGGCATGCGAATCCCGGCTGGAGGCAACACGCTGAGCACTGGGGAGCCAATGGGCACAACAATGGCCGGCACTGTCCCTGCCCTCCTGTCCCTCCTCAGGCACCCAGCTCCCTCCGAAGCACAGCGCAGGTGCCCTCTCTACCCTCCCTGACTACACCTGACAATTTCAGCTGGCTCCTTTGGTGCCAAGGGAGCAATGTCCAGGCAGCTGTTGTCCTCCAAAATCAGCCAGTGTGGACTTGGCCATGTACATGGGAACGTGAGAAGCAGATCTGGTCCCGAAGAACATTCCCAAGATAAGAAAGCAAGAACAGCGATAAAGGTGGCAGGAAAATCCCCATTGCTACAGGCTGTGCAATAATCCCACTGCTGGTGCTGAATAATCCCCAGTCAATAGGCAGGAAATTAGGTGAGAACAGACAGAGATTTCTTTTTAATCACAATTTAATGAGGTGTCTCAGGCTTGGATGTTCTGCTCTCGCACTTTGTTCTACAGCCCTTTATTTTGGTGGGTTTTTTTAGGCCACCTCTTTGTCTTCATGCGGATGCATGAGATGATAATTTTTTGTGGTTGTTGGTTTATTTTTTCTATTATCACCATGAGAAAACAACTACAATAGTTCTCATTATGAACTGGGCCCACACGTCAGCAAATAAAAGCCAGCAAAGTCTTTCATGGGCTCTAATTGCTCCATCTGATGTCAGGCTTGTTTCCTCCTCATTGTTTCCCAGGAGCTCTTACTTTTTCCACATTTTGTACAAGGTTTGCCACAGGCCAGCAGTTGCCTTCCAAAATGGGGAGAAGAAAGCAATGTGGGTTGATGAAACCCAGAGCATTCCTCTTAGGAAAGCTGGTGAGATGTCACCTGCGCTGCCCAGGGTCTCACTGTGTACCAGGCAGCAACAGCTCCTGTGAGAGCAGCCCACTGCTGCCTGTTCAGGATGCAACTGCTGCTGATGTTAAAAACCCCAAACACCAAGACCTGGCTGCGGTGAAGCATTTGGGGACATCAGCCCCTGCAGTGTGGGAGCTGGGATTTTCACTCTCTGTGGTCCATGTGCCTCGGGCCCCTCTGCCTGCCCACGGGTTGGGGAAGCCAAGGCTTCCCCCCCAAGCATCCCATGGGCTCCTGGTTTGCAGGTATGGCAGGAGAGGGATTCGCTTCATGAGCATCTGATGAACGGTTTCCATGGCAACCTGTCCTGGTTACAGCTGGTGACGGCGGTACTCCAGGGAGGTGAGTGACACTGTGACACCAAGGGGGGCTGTGCTGAGGTTTGGGCTATGCTGCTGGGTACCCCTTCTATTTCAGCCCTGGCAGCACTTGAGAAATCTTGAAACTGTCTCCTCTGTCTTCTCCAAGCTCGGTAGCACATGTTGGACTGCTGGGCTGGGGATGGTCCCCTCACATGGGACCTGTGGACGGCAGTACCTGTCCCCAGTGCACAAGCACCTTTTGCCTTTGTGGATCATTTCACCCGCTGGGTGTCCCAGCAGGAGGGACAGCATCCCTGGCACGGGAAGCCGCCCACCGTGGGCTGTCCCCAGCACACCCCAGACAGCCACCCCGCTGCTGGTGCCTGTGTTTTGCCCTGGATGGGACTGGTGGTTTTGCTCAGAGAAGCAGCCCCATGCACCCAGCGCTGCCCAGCCCAGCTCCAGGGTGCTGTGCCCTTGTTTTCATCCCCTCCTGCACCACTTGTGGGCGAAGGGGTCAAGAGGGACCCTTCGGGCTGCAGGAGAGTAAGAGACAGGGCAAGACAGAGTAGCAGAGGAAAGTCCCAAGAGCTCTCAGAGCCGGGAAGGGAGGCAAAGAGAAAGGCAGCCACTTGCCTGGCTCCCCTTTGCTCCCGCACACCATCTGCTGCATTTTCCCTTGCCTGGCAAAAGCAGCCTCCTCATCCTTCCCCTCCACCCCCCGTGCACCAAAATCAACCGGGAAGCGGAGACGAGGGCAGGAGGTGCGGCAGACCTTGCAGGGTTGGTTTGCTCGTCGATGGCATCCACGGCACTCTCCACAGAGCTCAGCAGCGACTGGGTCTGGTTCGCTGTCTCCTTCAGCAGGAAGCGGGTCACGAACTGGTCCACGTTGCTGCCGCTCTCGTACACCTGCCAAGGCAGACAGCGAGCACGGTGAGACCCAGCACCGAGCAGCCAGCGCCAGCGGGCACCCTGGCTGGTGCAGCATCCACCCAATATCCCACACGCAAGCTGGTCCCCTCCATGTCCCCAGCTGTAAGGGCCGCAGGAGGAATGAGCACATGCTTTCCCACCCCATGGGAAGCATATAGCCCTCCAGCTTCTGTGGGTCACCCAGCATATAGCCCCTCCAACATCCATCACTCCTAGGACAGACTTATAGAGGCTGTGATGGGAGTGTGGGCAGCAAGGCACATCAGCATTGCTTTATTTATAGATAAATAAAGCAATGTAAAGAAGCGATTACCCAAAGTCCACAGTTGCTCTCTTTACTGTGATCTTAAATTACCTGACTATTGCCTTGCAGGGCAAGACCCAGTGGGTGCAGGTATGAGAAGTGGTCCCTCCTGTGCTTTGGAGATCCCTGCTCTGAGAACTTCATCATGTTATTTAGTGCCTTAGTCCATAACAGTATGGCCAACACAGTGCTAAAGTAAAAGGGGTTTGGGATGATGAACATGGCTTTCACTGGGGAGCTGCAAGCTGAAGATACCTTCAAGCCAGCAGCAGAAAGCTCTGACAGTCCCCACCCAGCCTTCCTTCCATCCCACTCTGCGAGACAAGAGCCTCAGCATATTTTGGTATTAGAGTTTTTTATTCTGAAGAGGGAGAAAAGGAAAGCTCTGGCCTTTTGGGGCCAGAGGCAGGATGGAGACAGCCCGCAGAGCAGGAGTGCCTTCAGCAGGATGCAGGCTGCTCCCGGGGAGCTTTGGTGGAGGAGGACAAGCTGTTTGAGCAACAGAAGCTCCCAGGGTAATCCAAACCCTCCCAAGACAGAAAACACTTAATAAAATGTTTTAACAGCACAACCGATCTGCTTAAAGCACCCAGGGCCCCTTCCCCAGCACAGCCTTGCTGTGCCCTGCCCATGGCACGGTCCTTCTCCTCCATCTCCTGCCAGCCACTGGCAGAGGCAAGACACCGGCACAACTGGACGGACACCGGCACAACCAGTACAATACTGGCCCAGCCAGTCCAACATTGGCCCAACACCACTCCAACCAGTCCAACACCAGCCCAACTTGTCTGACCCCAGCCCAACCACACCAAGAACAGCCCAGCCAGGCTACTGGCCACACCAGGTCTGGCTATAGCTAACCACTCAGCATCAGAGCTAAAAACACTTGTGGTGAAAAAAAAGGGTCCTCTAAACGCAAACTCACTAGCATCACTTTTTCCCCAGACTCTTTCTAACCCATCAGTGCCTGCTGGGACAGCACGTGGCCCCGGCAAACCACTGCGTGCCAGCACCTCCTGGCATGGGACTCCTCCAGGACTCACAACTTTTTGGTGTGATGAGACAGGGTTGGATGCCCCTGGCTCCCGGCATGCCACCAGCAATGACCAAACTCAGGGGTGAGACTGGAGTGGTCCCAGCACCACCAGTTATCTGAGCACTCAGCGGCACCACATAAGTACCCCAAGCTCCCCAAAGCAAATTATTCTTGTTTTATGGTGAAGCGATTAATGAGGGTTATTTCCATGGCAACCAGAGCAGCTCTGCAAGAACCTGGAGGGCCTTTATCTCTTATTTTAAATCATAAAAGAAGAATGAGCTGAAGAAAAACACTTCTGGGGAAACTGGTTGCAGAGCTGATTTCTCACCCCTGATTTGGTAGGGGACCACAAGTTTCTTGATGGCTTCTTGAGCATCCAACTAGTGTGGTGGTTAATGACTTCTCTCTAACACAAAAAACTTGCTCCCCTCCCTGTCACAGCCACGGTGTTTCTGGGGGAAGTGCACGATGCGGTGATTGTTGCCGGACAGTGATGCTGAAGCAAACTGCCATGCAGTATTCATGATCTCCTGCAGCTGCTCATTGGGTGGCAGGGAGGGGGACATAAGGAGGGCAGGGACTGATGTGCTGCGTTGCTCTTTCACCAGCACAGCCCATCCCAGGACACTGGGCAAACGGAGATGGGACTGGCTCCGGGCACTCCATGGGCTGCATGACAATCAAGCACCGGGGTGCTCCTCGGATTTGGGGGATACACTCAGCAGTGCACATGGGACCCTGCCACCTTTTAAGCCTTTCTCCAAGCAGGAGCATGCTCCCCTCTGCAGCCCTGGCAGAGTCCAGCACGCTCCACCAGCACCACCATTATCTGACAGGCTGGTCAGAGGGAGGAAAGACGGCATCAGTGCATGATATGGGGAGATGCGTCAGAAGACCGGGCAGGAGCATGGCAGATCTCCCTCGCCAGGGATCATCGAAGCCTCAGAAACACAACCCTTAACACTGAGTGATTGCCTCCAAGTTATCTCCTTCCTCCATGGCCTGGCGATGTTTGAAAACAAGGTCAGCCGGCTTAGAAAAACCCACTCACATGCTGGTTGTTAATAATGAGATTCGTAACGCCCTGAAACCAAGCACAGCCGGTACAGCACCACTCGCCCGTACAAATGAGTATGATGGAGCAGTGTCCCCATCAGGGCTGCCTCAAGACCACCTCTGCCTTGCCGGGGGGGTACCAAACATCAATGTCTCCCTCGCTCTCCCCTTTGGGATTTTGCCTTATTTTACTGGGGAGTGGAGCAGCGGGTGCCGTACCATGAGACCACGCAGCCTGCTGGGGCTGGCTGCGCTTCCTTGCCTGCTACCGAGGGGGTTGCTGCTGGGCTATTTGGACCAGGACACCAGTGCCACCATACAGAGCTCAGACATCTCCTGATAAGTCCTGCCCAGTTTTCCCTCGCCCTGGGCAGGCAGGGAGAGTCATGAACAGGCAGCCTGGGACCATGGATGCGGCAGCTGGTGGAGCATCACACTGGGCCCCTTCTGTGGGAGGCATAGGCACCACCTCAAGACAAATAAACAGCAATTGAGCCAAGGGACTGATGTGAAAACATTTGTTGAGCATTTGGATTGGGAAAAAAATTTTAAATCTAGTCACAAATATTCCTGGATAGCTGGACGATCTCTATTCTCCCTAGAAAAATACAACTCACTCAGAACGTGCAATATTTACTATATATATACGTGTATTCTTTCCAAGCACTGTATTATACATACACACAGAGACATAGATATCACATCCGAACAAGTCTGTATAGACAGTGTATTAAATTCACTGTTAAGGTACATCACCCTTCTTCTTCCTCTGCTGGCATGCTCTGGAAAGAGCCCTACACTGGGCCAAATCCACCCCTTTGCCCAGGCAATTACTTTATCATTTAATACATCTCCCACTACACACAGTCTGGCTAAGGAGGGTGTATTAAATCAATAAATCTCCTTGGCAAAGACATATTATTGCATTTGGGATCTGAAACAATTTCTTTTGTGGTTCCCCGCCTCCATGGCTGCTCTCCCTGCGCACACCCCTCCCTGCAACCAGCAGCCTGCCCGTAATGAAGGCATAAATATATTAATCAGGTGCTCAAACAGGCTCTGCTCTAATTACAGATAGGTTTTGATTAACTCTCACACCCAGCCCTGCTCTGATTGCTGGCGCTGGGGATCTGATTGCTGCCTTGGTGGAGGGCGGCTGTTCCCGAGGGCTGGGGGCTATGTCCTTCCTTGTGAATTTAATATAGACCTGCAGGCCTCTGGGAGCTGCCACTGCTAAACACAGAGCTGTGCATGCTCCTTTGAGTGGCCGATGGGATTATTCTTTTAATTAAGAGCACGGGTTTTCTGGGACATGATTTGCCCTGCCGAGCGCGGGGGCTGGCTGCAAGTGTGGGGCTGGCTGGCGCTGGGGGCTGCAACCCCCTGCCCTGAGAGCCCCGCTGCTGCTCCAAGCACTGCTGCACTGTAAAGACACAGTAATTCCCTATTAATGTCCCTTTCCAGCGAGATCCGCAACACCACTGCCTTGTCCTCTGATAGCTGTCCAAACCATGTACCACATCCCCCATGGACACTCCAAGCTCATCAACTGATTTTACACCTGCTCTGTGCTGTTTATCCCACACTCAGTTTCCCTCCCAGAGGCGTAAAGAGTGCACCGCTGCTTTTCCATTTCAATCCGTACATCAAATAAATGGGGTAACATGCTGCTATTTACCTCCACTTTGCTGCTGCTCTGCAGGACTCTATAGCCTCTCTCCTGCAAATGCCACCAAACAATTTCCTGATCAACCCTTGCCACGCCTCATGTGAATATATCGCCCTCCCTAGCATGGGAGCCTGCTCCCTTCGGAAAATCGTATTTATGAAGGCGCAGGCTATGTAGAGTGCTGTCTGATCACGCAGACTGACTCTGGGTGCTAGAATATAAGGCTGCGAGAGTATGTGTAGTTAAATGTTGGGATTTCGTTACCTAATTATAGCCTATAATCTTGGTTCAGCTTTAGGAAAAATCATACAGGTGATTCCCACATTCATTTAAAACAATTTAACTCCTTACACTGAGATTCGTTGGATGGAGGCATGTTGAGTATAGAGCTATGCCAGCCAGTGCAGATGAATATTGGGGTGTCTGTGATGATTTTTGGCAGGCCAGTAAGTCCAATAGCTCTGAAATTAAAATGACGGTGGGCTTTTTTTCCTCCACTTAACTGACTCTGGCCATTTGCCAACGTAGCTGTGACATTTGCTCTCAGGAGCTGAGTCTGAAACATGTGTGCTCAGAGGCTTTTCAGCAATCCCTCAGGCTCTCCTGGAGCACATGTCTTATTTGGCATTGCAAAAACAAGTCATTAAGAAGACCAGCTCCAAAGGAATCCTTCCCATCGTCTTATTAAAACATTTGTCAGTCTGTCCTAGGGAAATTTAATGAGAATTGGTCTTATTAATTCCACCCTGAAGAGTTATTTCCTCCTTGCTTTGCTTGAGAAGTTAAAATATTTTTTGAGATATTATAATAATTGCTGCTCAATGAAGCCGCTTTGTGCCACAAGCTCTTGGAGGGGCACATTTCCAAGCCTGCTCTTTTCCATCCAGCTAGTCCATTAGCTCAAGGCT